GGAGGGCACGTGCTGCCCCACGCCACCGCCGGAGGTGGGGACGCCCCACGAGATTAAAAGCATTCGAGGTCATCCTGAAGTCGCTATGGACAGAATCGGGGACTAATTGAGGCTAGAGGGGACTTCAGGGTGGCTAACGCCCCGCTTGGAGACCCGTAGCCCCGCTCGGAGCATCCGCGGAGCCCCAAACTGGACCCAGTACCCAGAGGCGGTCTCAACAGTGCCGTCAAAATCCTTCCATCTCGCTGCGTGGTAGAGTTAAACATCTTGAGATGTTCGGGGACGCAAGAGACAACAGACACGGCAGAAAGGCAGGGATCTTTACTGGAGGAAATGACTTTCTTTTGTGCTTTCTGGGAATTTTTTTTGGGGGTGTGGGGGGGCAATATAGAGGAAAATAACCAACAGCCACGTGGTGCAAACCCAAACGCTCCTCAAGGTCTTTGTTCTTGCCCTCGGACAGCGTGTCCGTCCTCCCACCCGGCCCACAGCAAGCGCCTCCTCCTCCAACCCTCCCAGCGCGGCTCCCAGCATCGGGACGTACTGGGACGGCTCTTTCCTCCCCCAGACCGAGGAGAAACTGGGGCTACGGCTGCTAGGGAAGTCCCCACCGTTCATTATCCTGGTTTGGATGACTCCAGAAAAGTCTTTCCAAGACGTTTCCGACGTAACGAGAGCTCGCCCACCCCGCGCCACGTGCTCCGGCGTCACGCTGCACCTCAGACCAGACCTGCTGCCCGCCCGAGGCTTCCCGCAGCAAAACCACCAGGAAACCCACCGGTTTGTTCCACCTCTGCAGCCCCCAAGTCAAGGCGCGGGGCCGTGGCTTCTTGTTTTGTTTCCCCGTCTTTGGTTCCTTCAACCCAAAACCTGGGTCCCTACCCGGCATCCCTTGGAGGGCTTCAGGCACGGGGGGAGACGCGCCAGCCGGCCGAACGTCGTGAGGAACGTGACGAGGAGCACCGAGGAGCTGGTTTTCCTAGGGACAAACTGGCCTACGTCAATACGAGATCCAGGCGGGTCGTACGAAGCCCGCCGCGCTCCGCGAGCCCACCCACCCTACACGCAGCAGTTAACGCCTCCTCCTTGACCCACCCTCCGCGATATCTCACAGCGTGCAGACCCGCTCATTTATTAACGGAGCTTCATTTTCACGGAATGATTTTCCGAGCTTCCGTAGGCGCAAACGCACCTACAAAACGCTCGTCGTCGGACGCTTAAGCGCAAAGCGTGCGCTCTCAGATATTCCATAGACCCACGTCCCACTGTTTAACAGGGCAGGATCTCGCACTGGATGACCTTCCACACCTGGAGCACCGATTTCTCTCCCCTGTGAGTTTTCTGGTGCACGGAAAGGTGCGAGCTCTGCCCGAAGCTCTTCCCGCACTCGCCGCACGTGTACGGCTTCTCCCCCGTGTGCACGCGCCGGTGCTGAATCAGCTTGGAGCGCACACTGAAACGCTTCCCGCATTCCGAGCACTGGTAGGGCTTTTCTCCCGTGTGGGTTCGCTGGTGGACGACGAGATCCGAGCTTTGTATGAAGCTCTTCCCGCAGTCGGCGCACCCGTACGGTCTCTCTCCGGTGTGTTGCCGCTGGTGTTTCATGAGGTTCGACCTTTTGCCGAAACGCTTCCCGCATTGGCAACACGGGTAGGGTTTTTCTCCCGTGTGGGTTCTCCGGTGGGCGGTCAACGTCGAGCTCCGCGTGAAGCTTTTTCCGCACTCGGGGCAGGCGTACGTTTTTTCGCCGGTGTGCATCCGCTGGTGCGTGGCGAGGCTGGAGCTCCTGTTGAAGCATCTCCCGCACGCGGGGCACCGGTAGGGCTTTTCCCCCGTGTGGGTTCGCTGGTGGACGACGAGGTCCGAGCTCCGCGCGAAGCTTCTCCCGCACTCGAGGCACTTGAAAGGTTTCTCTCCCGCTTCGTCTCTCGGGGGTGTAATTAAGTCCCTGCTCCGGCCGTTCTCGCGTCCGGACTCGTTGCGGGCGCGTCGCCTTCCTGCAGGAGTTGGGGTTTCTCCGGGGTCGGCGTCGCCTCCTCCGCAAACCGTCCCGCCGTCCGTTTTCCACCTTATCCCTGTTGGGACGGCAGAGAGAAGCCAGACGGGTTATTTCTCAGGCCAGGTAGAAATAACATCAAGGGGAAGAAAAAGTTAATTAACCAAGCAGGAAAATTAGCCCGGGGGTGCAGCAGCTCTGCTTCCGTGGTTCCCCAGGGATGGAAGAAGGGGGGGGAAAAAAAAAGAGAAAAAAAAAATCAACAGAGAGGAAATTTATTCTGATTTCCAGCCAGGATCAGTAGAGCTGCATCTCCTAGTGGGATCCATCGGGCTTTGGCTAAAATCCTGGTGCGGGTTTGATAGGATATAACAGCGTGCGCTGGTGGAGGTGGTCGCGAGCGCAGGCACCCCCTCCTCACCTGCGCGTCGGCTGCTCAGGGCTTCTTTTTTCTCCATTTCTTGAAGATCAGGGCCCCGGCGCTCTCCTCGCTCTCGCATCTGGGCGAGCAAGTCTGGCTCGGTCGCGGGAAAACCTCTTCCAGCGGCTGAAATCAGGAGGTAACGGCATGAGGGACGCGAGGATTGTAGGGTATTCGCAAAGTGAAAGAAATTCGAATTTCCTGAGGGACGCAGGGTGGGAAGGATGGTGGCGGGGTCACCCAGACCACCAGGTGCCTGGGTGACCGTGCGTCCTCCACCCAAGCCCCACAGAAGGCAAAACGTCAAACGTTGGCCCAAAACCAATCGTCGGGATGGAGCGAGTCCAGGAAAAGGGAAAAGATCCCTGCGGGGAAGACGGGTGTTTCCATCCACTGGAAAATTTAGGCAGAAGAGAAGAACAAAGGGCTTTTCCTCAATGTTCCTCCTCGCTCTGTCTCCCAGGAGGAGCATCAAGGAGATGGTCTGCCTCGCTCCTGAGCGCTGCAGAGCTCAAACCATCGGAAAATTGAGAGCATCTGCAACACGGAAGCCCTGAGCCAAAACTTCAGGAGCTCTTGGCTCCGGCGCTGGAAGGGACAGAATTCCTTACCCAGAGACGTCACGGTCTCGTAGTTCTCCAGCATGACGTCCACGTAGAGAGTCCTCTGCCCCGGGTCCAGCAGGGCCCATTGCTCCTTGGTGAAATACACGGCCACCTCCTCGAAGGTCACGGGCTCCTGCGGCAGCAGCAAGAGACCGTCAGTACCTGGGGGCCGGAGCCGCAGCCCCCCCAAGAGGGAGAATAATTAAAAAAAAACCCAAAACCCTGGGATGAAGAAGCGGAGATGCTCAAGCCCATCCCAAGCAACCGAGGAGAGCCGGGGGGGCACTGGGGAGGGAAAACCAAGGACCTCCCAGAAAGGGACTGAGATTCACGGACCTGAAAATAAACCTCCGAGCGGGACCCAAGGGCAACGCACCGAAGGGAAACCCTCATGGGAGGTGGTGAAGGTGGCTTTTCCCAGAGCACCCGTGAATTAGTGTTTTCTTTCCCAAAAAGGGCCGATTTTCCTGTGTCCGAAGGCATGAGCGAACCCCCCCCCAGCCCCTGGCGAGTTGTCCACCTGAGGCGGTTCCACTGCCTCCATCTCGGGGGGTTGGTTGGGGTTTTTTTGGTGTTTCAGGACATTTGTCTGTTCTGGAGTGAAACGCAGGAGCCCATCAGGCCTAGGAAACAAAAAAGAAAAGGAAGGGAAGGAGAAAGGGAAGGAGGGAGGGGGAAGAAGGAA